CAGATAGAAATATAGGCACAGTTTAAATTGGTCAGTAAAACAAATTTTTAAGCAGTAGTGAGTGTTAAGCCTGTTCCTCTAGTCAATATCAAAGTCAAATCAATTAAAATAAGTCTTTAGTTCAAATGGTTAAACAGTCCAGTATTTTGACTGGTATATTACATCTTGTTTTAATTTAAAATAAATTAATACGCTGTGAACCTGATAAGCAGGACTTACAATGGTACAGAATGTGCTTCGAAGCTGTTGCCACAATGGGAGCAATTCTTCTCACATACTGTACACACACACATATAAATCCCACCCCCTCGCTTGTGACTTTCCACAACACCTGTGCCTATGTATAGTGCAGAACAGCAGTCACACGCTGATCATCAGTGCCATTATACACCCGTGTCCATGTGTTAGACAACATATTCATGTGAGCTGATGAAAGCATACGAGTATCTGTCACTGACTTACAGAAGAGAAACCTAGAGAGTTTTCATTCATGAATGACCCCTCCCAACATAAAAGCAGTGGGATAATGGTCAAGGATAGGCCACTGCTCCACTGACTTGAAATCATGAAACTTTGTTGTGATTATAACAGTAAGCTACAAAAGGCCATTGTTGCTTGATTCTGTAACAGAAAGTGAATGCAGAACTGAGTCAAGGTCAGGACTAATATCAGGGATTCTGGTCATGCAACTCTGAAGATAATGTTTTGCAACAGAGAAATATGGTGACTATGTCATGAGGTACAGGAGAGCAGTAAAACATCAAGGCCCCTCATGTGAAATACCAATAACAAACCTGTTTCATGGCATTTGCTCTATGCGATTGTGCAAACAAGAGCAAAATGATCTCTGGACATACTTTGAAATTTGTCATCTTGTCCCAGACAAGTAAATAAGAACCAGGACAGTGTCTTTCAACGGCAAACTAAAACGCCTAATAAACAGCCATGCAATATCAACTAAAGCCTCCATCATATTAAGATTATATTTATTTGAAGGAAATATTAACAAATCAACTTCAGATTGGTTAACATTATGAATCTATTTTTGTTGGAAAACATTATAACACTTTACAATTCCATTTGTTAACATTGTGAACTACATTAGTTAACATGACTAACAAGGAAAATATTTTTAAAGCATGTATTAATCTTAGTTAATGTTAAATTCAGCATTACTATCATTTCAGCAAACATTAACTGACATTGAAAAATATGTATAGTGTTTTTTTTTCACATTTTAGTTAATTTAGTTAATTTCAATATTTACTAATACATTACAATCAAAAGTTTATATTATTTAAAGGACATTAACTACAATGAACAATGTTTTTAAGCAATATTGTTTACTACTATAACTAACATTAAAAAAAGATTAATAGGCAACTGCAACAAATGCACTGTTAGTTGCAGCTAACATTAACTAATGGGACTGTTGTTTTACCATTTTTTACATTTTATTTATTTATCAACTGCACTTGAATGCACTTTTTGAAATGTTGAATATGAATCAAAAATTTAATTAGTTATAAATAAACTCCTTTTTGGGCAGTAGATCAAAAGGTCATGATATATCAGTTAGGTGTGTCCAAAGAACCTAAACGTTTTATTTTATATCACTTTCTGGTTAGATGCAAAAGCAAAGTCAATCAAAACCTAATTGGAACAAATAGAAATACAGCACCGAATCACCTTCTGCTCTCAAGATAAACGTTAATGCCTTCCCAAACAAATGTAACACTGCAAACGACTCAGCCCAACAGCCTGTTATCCTATCTTCTGTTGACAGACATTGAACCTGAACTCAAACACTATGGTGTGTATATTTTCAAGTTATGTTGGTGGACGCCCCCCAGTATGTGTGTGAGTAAACAGCAAAGTTACAGTCTCCACGTGGCATGGTTTATATCCTGCATAACCTGCATGACTCCAATGACAGCTTGGCCTATTTCTCTGAATGTATTGCTGAATGGAAAGCACATACTGTATAAGCACAGCCTTTGATGAATGCCGACTTCCCTTAGTCATAAGAGAGTAATTATAACACACAAAATTAGCCTTAAACATAATGATGCAATAGTATTTTCAATGCATTTCACTTATGATTTTATTCTGAACCGGTGCATTCAGTCATGCGTCAGCGTGAAGTCATGTCTGTACCCGCCCCTCACATGAGGGTGAAAAATCATACGAGGCTAACAAAGGAGGGGGTTGCATTAGAATGAATGACTCTTTGAAGGGGGTGGAGTCTTCACATGCTACTACAGCTGGCAGAAACTGGGGTCGGTAGAAACAGGTTGATTCCAAAGAACAAGGCGTGCGCAAACAGAAGCAGTGTTGCTGTTGTTTTTTAATCGAGCCGGTTTATTTTTTCCTTCTTTATTTAATATCATTCAATAACTGGACTCATAGGTGTAAACGACTTTAAACGTACATCTTCAAGAACGAGATGGCAAGAGGAGAGGGCGCAGAGCAGTACTCCAATGCCAGTCTGCTTCAAAAACCCAGCCCAGACGGAATCAAACTGGCAGCAAAGGTAACAAACTGAAAATAATGTATGCTTCCATTCATTTATAAGCTATAGGCTACGTATTTCCCATGCACATGATTCCCCTGTTGAACAGATACATAGTGGCGGCGAGAGCTGATCGACGTGTCATATTTTTGTCAGGTTGAATTGAGCGCGCACGCCCCGTCTGCACTGCTTGCGACGCGTGGAAATTATATATTATATATAAACGAATATTAGACCGACTACACAGGAAATCTCAGGCTGTTCAACTCCAGAGTAATTTTATCACGTTTCATCACTGGTAAACCGGTGTTAGAACTGACTACTGCTTGTCTGACTGCTCTGTTACTAGACGTGTTTTTTTTTGTGTTTTGTGATGGGTGTGTATGTAGTTACATTTTTCGTCCTTCAGAGATGACTGAATTGAACGAAAGTGTATTACATTAAATGAGAGAATTCTTGAGGTTATCCGTAAAAAAGAAAATATTTGAGTGTAATCTTCTCTAAACCCAATATCTCAAGTAATCATTAAATATAGGGAAACTAATTAAATGAGTTGAAAATATTTCAATTAATTTTTTACACCATAGCACTGTTGAATGGTTGATTCTGATTGGCTGACAGATAAGGTCTTGATCTTTTATTTATTTTTTTGTAGGGATTTCAAAGAGACTTGCACCCTATTACAGCAAAAAAAAAAAGAAAAAAAAAAAAACTAGGAACAAAGGCCAGTCAAATAAATATGACAATGATATAAATGAAAAAAAGCTCTCTGTCCAGTAAGTGCATAAACAGCTTAAGCTTCCAATTTTTTGTGAATTATTAAAAAAACTTTACTATTTAAGAGTTTGCATTGATTTTCAATAATGTCGTGGTATGCTGTCAATTATTCCTTACATAAAAAATTTTATATTTATATTATATATATATATATATATATATATATATATGAATTATTATACCAA